CGGTGTTATAAACGCCGTCTTCTCTCGGTCTCTTTCGTCGACTTCGATTTGCCAATAGCCAGTCTTGAGGTCCATTGACGAAAAGTACTTGGCGTTATGGAGCCGATCAAGTGCGTCGTCTATTCGTGGGAGAGGATACACGTCCTTTCTTGTGATTTTGTTCAGGCGGCGATAATCGACGCAGAAACGTAGGGTCCCATCCTTTTTCTTCACTAACACCACGGGGGATGCCCATGGACTCTTGGACGGCTGGATAATGTCATCCCGCAGCATTTCATCAACTTGTCTCTTCATGGCATCACGTTCTCGCGTCGAAACCCTGTACGGACTCTGACGGAGTGGTCTGGCATTTTCTTCGGTTATGATGCGATGTTTCGTGATTGGGGTCTGCCGAATTTTCGATGACGACGAAAAGCAATCTTCGTATTGCAGGAGCAGGGCCTTGAGCTGTTCTTGCTTATCGCTCGGAAGTTTGGGATTGCCATCGAAAGCTATGGGAGGGGCTTGGTTCCTCTGAGCAGGTTCCGCAGAATCGGCAAGGGCGAAAGCACTGGTGGCTTCGACAATTTCTTCGATGTATGCGACCGTTGTTCCTTTGTTCACATGTTTGTACTCATTTCTGGAATTCGTGAGCATAACCGTTGCTTTGCCTCCCCGCAGCTCTGCAATTCCTCTTGCGACGCAAATATTTCGGGTGACCAACAGATGCTGACTGCCTTCAACGACGCCTTCCAAGTCAGGTGATTTAGGAGCGCCGACTGAAATAATGACGCTTGAGCGAGGCGGAATGGTGACTTGGTCTTCCAGCACATTCAAGGCATGGTGTTCTGACGGCGTGCGCGGTGGTAGTGCTTCTTCTGTGGATAACGTTATCGACTTTGTTTTTAGGTTGATGACAGCACCATGGAGGCATAAGAAGTCCATGCCAAGGATGACATCTCTCGAGCAACGCTGTAGGACTACGAAGTCTGTAGGATAAATACGGCCGTTAATGGTGACTCTCGCTGTGCAGATTCCTGCAGGCGTTACGAGATGACCTCCGTCTGTGCGGATTTCAGGGCCTTTCCAAGCTGTCCTAACTTTCTTTAACTTCGCGGCGAACGACCCACTGATGACAGAATAGTCGGCTCCAGTATCGACGAGAGCGGTCACACTGTGGCCGTCGATAAGGACGTCGATGTCGCTAGTTCGCCGTCTCGCATTACAGTTAGGGCGTGGCGTCGGGTCACGGCTGCGTCGGCTTGTTCCGCTGCTTCCATGTTGCGTCGTCAGGCCACCTCCGGTAAGTGAGCTTTCGCCGTCAGGGCTTTGCCTGGTTGGCATTGTGTTCGGAAAGCTCCGTCGCGGCGTCGTCGTCGTCGGAGGATCTTCGGTAGTTCGTCGCACAGCAACCGCACCTCCACCGGTTGCTGCCCTTAGTTTCCCGGATACGGGCTAGGAGACCGGCCCCGCGTTGGGCCGGAGTACTGCCGGGGGTGCGGTGACATGCGGCGGCTGGGCGACGGCGAACGGGAAGGACTTCGGGGTGTCCATTGAGTTCCTGTCAGGTAGTCGGCGATGTCACGGGGCCGTTCCCCTGCCTGCGGACGTGGTGCATCGACGGCAAAGCCACGCAGTCCCATCTGTCGGTACTGGCAACGGCGGTATGTGCGCCCGGCCTCGCCGCAGTGGTAGCACAGTGGACGGTGGTCAGGGGTGCGCCAAACGTCCGTTTTCCTCGGCGCACTGCGCTGGCCCGCTGGTGAACGGTAGGTCGTCGGTGGGGGTGGTGGCGGCGGTGGTGTCTGGCGACGGAAGTGCGACGGGGCGGCGTTTTGGCGTGGACGGGGAGGAGCGTTGTGGCGCACTGCAGCGGCGTAGCTCATAGTTTCTGGCTCGGGCAGCGGTGCGTGGGGAATTTGAAGCGATTGCCGATCTTCTTCTCGCACAATGTCGGCGATTGAATCCACTTGAGGCTCCGCCGAAGGCAACAGTTTGCGCAGCTCTTCCTGCACGATCGCTCGGATCGTTTCACGCAGGTTTTCGGAGTCACTGGTTTGAGCAGCAGCGCATTCTGGAGTCAGGCGACGATTAACTGTCTGGTGCGCATGTCAAGGGTTTTTTCGATGGTGGTCGCCTCGGATACAAATTCTTGGACGGTGTTAGGTGGATTCCTCATTAGTCCCGCGAAGAGATCCTGTTTGACCCCTCGCATGAGGAAACGAACTTTCTTCTCCTCAGGCATGTCTGGGTCAGCGTGACGAAATAGGCGGGTCATCTCCTCTGTGAAAATTCCAACCTTCTCATTTGGTAGCTGAACCCGGGTCTCTAGTAGAGCAGCGGCCCTCTCTTTGCGAGCGACGCTCGCGAACGTTTGCAGAAATGCGCCGCAGAAGACATCCCACGTTCGGAGCGTGGACTCACGAATCTCTAGCCAGGTCCTTGCTGTGTCTTCCAGGTAGAAGTACACACGACGGAGCTTTTCTTCGTTGTCCCAGTGGTTGAGGGCGGCCACACGGTCGTATGTTTCTAGCCAGGTTTCCGGGTCTTCAAACGATGACCCATGAAACGTTGGTGGTTCCCTGGGTTGATGAATGACGATCGCGGGCTGGGACGCTCCGGTTGTCATTGTCGCTGCAGTAGAGGTCATGGCCTTGGCCTTCCGCGCCTTGTCTTGTAGAAGCCCGTACTCCGGTGGGAGACCTTGCTGTCGGCGGCTTGTTCGCTGCTCTTGTTTGGCGCCGGTGTCTTCTCAGCGACGTGGGCTGGGTTCATGGCTTGACGGGGGCGTCCGGTACATGAACGAAGCAGCACCTCCACCAGATGTCACGGGGTCGTGACGTGGCCGAAGACAGGAGACTTCGTGTTGCGAATTAACTGTTTATTTGGGCGAACCTGTGCCCGGTAAACGGAAAGTCCAATTACAGCAGTAGTCTTGCACAGATAGCCGTCTCAGACTGATAGCGGCGAACGGAGCGTCGGCCTTCGATCAACAACTGACAAGCGGCGAAGCGCGTCGGAATTTATACTCTTGCTGTCGAATGCTCTAGCGTTATCGCTGGCGGTGGCGTAGGTTCCAGAACAATCTGTACCGTTCGCACAAAGGGCGTGATCTTATCGAAATGATCTACTACAGTCCGGAACCTTCTCGAAAACTGCAGGCGCGGTTTGCGCTGAGAATCGTGTGGTGTTTTGGGACGATAACAAAAACTTGGGAAATGGAACGTGGCAATATAACACAGACACTCCAAGATTGTGTGAATCCCATCAGAATAAAGGCGATGAAGGGATCGGTGAAAAAAATGGCTATCGCTTATCGACCACGCCTTCTCATGCGTTTTTTATGGGCGCCACAACCTACAAGAATGCTGTATATTGTATACATGAAGTGGTTGATCGACTGATATGTGGGGTTTAACATCCCAAAACCACCATATGATTATGAAAGACGCCGTAGTGGAAGGCTCCGGAAATTTCGACCACCTGGGGTTCTTTAACATGCACCCAAATCTGAGCACACGGGCCTACAACATTTCCGCCTCCATCGGAAATGCAGCCGCCGCAGCCGGGATTCGATCCCGCGACCTGCGGGTCAGCAGCCGAGTACCTTAACTACTAGAACACCATGGCTGGGCTACATGAAGTAGTTATGCAAATGATGGGTCTTTCTAAAAATAATTCAATCACTCGAACTTGCCAGAATGGAAAACAAAAACTGCCGATTCGATTGATAATGGAACGACTCATATATGTTACGCCTCATATATGCGACATCCGACTAGCGGAAGTAGGCACCGCATATATACGAAACAGTAGAAATGAAAAACGAAGTTATGAAAAATTGGCAGATCCCCCCCCCCCCCCCCGTGGTGGTTTGCGCCAGAACTCTCAGGAACAACCAACCACGTGCAGTGGGAATCGATAATATGCGAAGCACGAATGAGGAAGGTTGATATGTCACTTTAAAATCAGCACAACGTTACGAGGCGGACGTAAGTACTGCCGTGCATGACTACCGCGTCATGATTATCATGTTCGCGCCCGGCATTTTTGTTCGTCGTCTATTCACGTCACATAATACCAAATTTGGTATATGTGAAGCTAGCGAAATGGCCGTGAGCACGCTCTGAATGTAGCATGTAGTGATGTTTTACATGACACGCATGCCATGATTATCTTGTCTGGACGTGCCATTTACCTTCGTCGTCTATTCACGTCATGTAACACCGAATTTGGTATATGTGAAGCTAGCGAAACGGCCGCGACCGCGCTATGGACGTAGCATGTCGTCATGTTTTACATAACAGGCATATCCTGATTATCATGTTTGGACGTTTCGCTTACCTTCGTCGTCCATGCAAGTCACGTAATAGCAGATTTGGTGCATGTGAAGCTAGCGAAAAGACCGCGAGCACATCATGAGCGTGGCACGCAGTCATGTTCTTACATGACACGCATGCGACGATTTCCACATGAGGGCCTGTAAATTATGTTCGCCATGCAGTCATGTCGTGCCATACCAGTTTTGCGATATTACATGTGGACGAAACGACCGCAGGAACAACAAGACCATGACATGTAAACCCCGACATTCATGACATACATGTCACGATTTTCATGTTATGACTAGTCAGTTATGCCCGTCATACAGTCATGTTATGCCATACCAAATGTGGTATATATCCCGTTATACAAACAGCCAGAAGAGCTAAAAGTCGTACGCAGCTAAATAGATAGATAGGCAGATAGGGTCAAACTCGCCGAAGTTCGCTAAGAAATGCTTCGCATTAAGATATGAAAGATCCTGGTTTATAAACACCTCTCGGACATTACATCACAGTCCTTAAGCGCGTGGATGTACGGCTGCTTGTAATTTTTTTTATCAGAATGACGCCCCTTCAGCTAAATCCATTATCAGACACGTGACCAGCGGCCGAGTAAGCACGTGCATTAAAGTCCTTGCGGCGAGGCATTGCATTGCAATCCGCCGCCAACGCTCGAACGAAGCGGAGCCTGTCGCCGCACTCCTGAAAAAAAAAGTACGTTCAAACGCCCCATCGGCCGGGAAGCTTTTTAACCTCAGGCTCGACATCCGACTAGCGGGAGGTGAACGCAAGCTGCTTCACTTCACCCTTCCAGGTCGCATCTTCGCCGCGCGTAGGAGATACGACCGACGCTTCCGTCACAACAGCAAGTACACCGAGGGTTCTCTCTAGCCATAGGCCAACACTCCACGCAACATTCAGCTTCCATAGGCGCCTTCAGGGTCACTGGCAGCCATGGCGTACGTGGAAGTGCTGTGCTCACACCTTTCGAGAGTGCCGCAACACGAACTGCGATGCTTGGACAACGACGGCTTCACCGACCTTCCAAAGCTCGCCGACAAGTCTGTACCAGAAGCAGTCAGCGCGGTTCGCGCCCATCTGGAATCCATAGCCGCTATGCGCGACCGTCTGGACTGCGCGGCCCACTTATTCACCTGCATGGCCGGCCTGGGCGTCATAGGGTCCTGGGTTCTCTATCGCGCTGACCGTAGGGAGGACCCCACTGATATCATCGGCGACATCCTGAAAAAAATGCGGCAGAGACGCGTCCACGGCGTGTTCGCCAAGGCGACGGAAAACGTCTGTTGCACCTGCCTGCTCGTCCCCGAAGAAGAGAGAGGCAGGGACTTCAGGCCTTACTTGTTCGTCGACTGGTACACAAAGCCCTGCGTAGCCATACACGAAACTCCCGACATACATTCGCCCTTACTCGAAACCGTCCTCCGACAGACGTTGGGAAATCCGCCACGAAGCTACCGTTGCGGCGTTTATCGAGACCTGAGGTCGCTGTATGCTGGCGTCCTCCAATTGTTCCCGTGATGCAGCCGCCGACTCCCTCCCATGCCATCTGCGGGCAACGCGGTGAACTGTCCCTCCTTTTTCGGCCACCGACTTTATACCGTAAGTCATTTTTGCGGGCTATTCTCTTTCTATGTATGGCGTAGTTGCTCTGCCGAGAGAATTTAAGCCCGTAATCCGTGTAGCCAACGTCACGAACAGGTCTGCTTTCGCGAATAGTAATTGAGTAGATGTGGCTGAACACGCTCATTTTAATTATACCGTTATTGATGTAGCGTTCCTTGGACAATCCTGAATTTAGCGTATAATTATCAAGCACGAAAAATTATGTGATGCGGTTTCCTTGATTTATACACTTCCGCTTAATTGAACGTAACGCTCAAAACAAAATGCTCATTGAACAGTCATTGCTAAACATCTCTGCTGAACGTGGTTCCGCGGCGATTAACGTCGGGACACACAGCGATGCTTGCAAGCCCGACATGTCTTTATCTGCGCCCTTGAATTTAACACTGCTAATTTCCGTAACGTCTATTACCAGTAGCGATTTGCTTGGATTCATAACTGCCGTAGCCGGTTTATTGCGTTATCCACCGTGAATAACTATTTCATTTGTGAAACAATTCTTCATTGGTTGTCTTTCCAGCATCAAGACGATGTCATTTGACGGACCAAAATTTTTCACGAACCGTGCAGTTTGCCGAAGCCACTTGACGACTTACAAATAACCACGCATCTCCATCGGACACTGCAGCCACGAAAATTTTGATAAGTACCACACCTGTTAAAGCTGTAGTGACAGCTGTGTTGAACATTATTTTACTCAATGTTTCATGCTTAACCTCTACTTCAACTTTCCTTTTAGCTTCATACATTCAATTCTTGCCGCGCTCCTCTTCGAGCACCCCTTTTGTGTGTGTGAGCGCCACCTGGAAGAGAGCATCATCCTATTCGTTCACCATCTGTTGTCCCCTGCGTAGCGGAACGTCATCTTAATCTTAGCTGATTGACGAGGCCTCGACAGAATGGCTTAATGCTGTCTATGTACTTGTTCCTTCATAACTGTGACGAAGGCGATGAGAAAGGGACTTCGCACTTCGTGTCTAATGAAACATGTCGGGTCTTATGCAAGCCGACACATCCTGGTATCGACAAGTCGAATAAAGGAACTTTTATATGCGCCCATGCTATTTGGTATATTTGTTTCTGAACTGTGTCTGTTTTCGTCAACAAAATTCAAGCATTATTGATATTTCTACTCTTCAACATACGCGATCAACCCCCCCCCCCCCCTCCCTGAGCATGCGTGTCATTCCTCAACAAGTTTCACGACGCTTGACAGTTTCCTAGCACGGGTGACAGCGCAAGGTCTACGAAGTTGCATCTGTTCTAGCAGGACAGCCGGAACATCATATGCTGGAAACAGTGGGCCTTGCAAACAGTGGAACACCACGAATTATTTTCTTTTGAAAGAAATATACTTTCTTGGTGCGCACAACGCTTCAGAAAGAAGCCGCATGGGACAGAGCGCACACTTGCAACCACTTTATTGCACAGATGGCCGCCGTATATATAAAGCCAAGAGTGCGAGAAGATGACTCACATTATACGAATCTTTGAATTACGCTTTAAGTGACAATACACTTGTACTCATTGTCCGAATAGGGCACTTACACACTCGATTCATCATCATCATCAGCCTGACTACGTCCACTGCAGGACAAAGGCCTCTCCCATGTTCCGCCAGTTAACCTGGTCGTGTGCTTGCTGCTGCCGATTTATACTCGCAAACTTCTTAATCTCATGTGCCCACCTCACCTTTTGTCTCCCCCTAACTCTCTTGCCTTCTCTGGGAGTTCAGTTAGTTACCTTTAATGACCAGCAGTTGTCCTGTCTACGCGCTACATGCCCGGCCCATGTTCATTTCCTCTTCTTGATTTGAGCTATTATATCCTTTACCCTCGTTTGTTCCCTAATCCACTCCGCTCTCTTCTTGTCTCTTAAGGTTACACCTACCATTTTTCTTTTCATTTCTTGCTGCGTCGTCCTCAATTTAAGCTGAACCCTCTTAGTAAGTCTCCAGGTTTCTGCTCCATAGCTAAGTAGCGGCAAGATACAGCTGTTATATACCTTCCTCTTGAGGGATAGTGGAAATCTACCTGTCATAACTTGAGAGTGCTTGCCGAATGTGCTCCACCCCATTCTTATTCTTCTAGTTACTTCAATCTCGTGGTTAAGCTCTGCGGTTATTACCTGCCCTAAGTAGACATAGTCTTTTACAACTTCAAGTGCACTATTACCTATCTGGAAGCGCTGCTCCTTTCCGAGGTTGTTGTACATTACTTTCGTTTTCTGCAGATTAATTTTAAGACCAATCTTTCTGCTCTCCTTGTCTAACTCCGTACTCATGAGTTGTAATTCATCCCCTGAGTTACTCAGCAATGCAATGTCATCGGCGAAGCGCAGGTTACTAAGGTATTCTCCATTAACCCTTATCCCTAACTGTTCCCATTCTAGGCTTCTGAAAACCTCCTGTAAGCACGCGGTAAATAGCATTGGGGAGATTGTGTCCCCCTGCCTTACACCCTTCTTGATTGGTATTCTGTTGCTTTCTTTATGAAGCACTATGGTAGCAGTTGATCCCCTGTAGATTTCTTCCAGAATGTTTATATATACTTCATCTACGCCCTGATTCCGCAGTGTCTGCCTTACGGCTGATATTTCTACTGAATCAAACGCCTTCTCGTAATCTATGAAGGCTATGTATAGTGGTTGGTTATATTCTGAGCATTTCTCTATTACCTGATTGATAGTATAAATGTGGCCAATTGTTGAGTAGCCTGTTCGAAATCCTGCTTGTTCCTTTGGTTGATTTAATTCTAATGTTTTCTTTACTCTGTTAGCAATTACCTTTGTAAATAGCTTGTATACTACAGAGAGCAAGCTGATCAGCCTGTAATTCTTCAAGTCCTTGTTATCTTTTTTTCTTATGTATTAAGATGATGTTAGCGTTCTTCCAAGACTCTGGTACCCTTCCCGTCAGGAGACACCTCGTAAACAGGGTGGCTAGTTTTTCTAACACAATCTGTCCTCCATCTTTCAGCAGATCTGATGTTACCTGATCCTCACCAGTAGTTTTGCCTCTTTACATGCTCTCCAAAGCTTCTCTGACTTCTTCTATCATTACTGGTGGGGTGTCATCTGGGTTACTGCTAGTTCTTATAGTATTAAGGTCGTGGTTGTCTCGGCGACTGTACAGACCTCTGTAAAATTCCTCCGCTATTTTAACTATCCTATCCATATTGGTAGTTATTTTGCCTTCTTTGTCCCTTAGTGCATACATCCGACTTTTGCCTATCCCAAGTTTCCTCTTCACTGCTTTGACGCTTCCTCCGTTTTTCAGAGCGTGTTCAATTCTCTTCATGTTATATCTTCTTACATCGCATACTTTACGCCTATTAATCAACTTCGAAAGCTCTGCCAGTTCTATTTTGTCTGTTGTGCTTGACACTTTCATGATTCAACGCTTCTTAATTAGGTTCTTCGTTTCCTGGGAAAGCTTGCCAGTGTCCTGTCTAACTACCCTGCCTCAAACTTCCACTGCACACTCCGTAATGATACTCGTCAGATTATCGTTCATTGTATCTACGCTAAGGTTGGTTTCCTCACTAAGAGCCGAGTACCTGTTCTGCAGCGAGACTCTGAATTCCTGTACTTTCCCTCTCAGTGCTAGCTCAATGATTGGCTTCTTGCGTATCAGTTTCTGTCGTTCTTTCTTTAAGTCTAGGCGAATTCGAGACCGTACCATTCTATGGTCACTGCATCGTACCTTGCCAACCACTTCCACATCCTGCACGATTCCTGGGTGTGCAGTCATTATAAAGTCTATTTCGTTCTTATTTTCGCCATTAGGGCTCCTCCATGTCCACTTGCGGTTTTCTCGTTTTCGGTAGAAGGTATTCAGAATCCGCAAATTATTGCGTTCTGCGAATTCTACTAGTAGCTCTCCTCTGGCGTTTCTAGTGCCGATGCCATAATCTCCTACTGCCTGGTCTCCAGCCAGCTTCTTCCATACCTTTGCATTAAAGTCGCCCATCACTATAGTATACTGTGTTTTTACCTTACTCATTGCCGATTTCACGTCTTCATAGAAGCTTTCAACTAAAGCGTCATCATGGCTGGATGTAGGCGCGTAAGCCTGTACTACCTTCATCTTGTATCTTTTGTTCAGTTTAATTACAATACCTACCACCCTTTCATTAATGCTATAGTATTCCTCTATGTTGCCAGCTATGTTTCTGTGAATTAGGAACCCCACTCCCAGTTCTCTTCTGTCTGCCAAGCCCCGATAGCAAAGGACGTGCCCATTCTGTACCACAGTATAGGCCTCATCTGTCCTCCTAACCTCGCTGAGCCCTATTATATCCCATTTAACACCCTCTAGCTCCTCGAATAGTACAGCTAGACTTCCCTCACTAGATAAGGTTCTAGCGTTAAACGTTGCCAAGTTCAGGTTCCAAAGGCGGCCTGTAGTCCAGAGATTCTTAGCACCCTCTGCTGCGTTGCAGATCTGACCGCCCGCCATGGTCAGTTGCTTCGCAGCTGCTGGGGACTGAGGGCCGTGAGTTATTTGACATATGTATGTGGGAGGTAGTGGCCAGATACTGCACCAGGGTGGCCGATCCTTCTCTGGTGAGGGAGTGCGTTCCCGGCGGTGGTTACCGGTGAGGCCGCACCCCAGGCCTCTTAATGCAGTTTCATAAACACGCTGGTTTTTTTTTGCCGGTTGGGAACTGTGCGGCACCGGGATTTGAACCACGGACCTTTTGCCTGCGAGGCGGATGCTCTAACCACTACGCCATCGCAGCCATCATGCCACACTCGATTCACCGCCTTGCAAATCAAAAACGCTTCATTTCCCGTGCCCTCTTGTCAATCTTGCCATTACTTCGCATTCATCAAGCATCGGGGTGCACTAACACTGGGCACAGTCACTATCCAGGTGGCTGCCCACTGATCCGTGCTTGAGATCCGCGTACTCCTTAACGAGATAGTTCAGACATGCAGCGCCCCATCTGAGCGATGCTAGTATCGGC